AGGGGTTGACAGGTCTGTGTGATCCACAGTATAAAAACATGCGAACAGTTTTGCTGAATTTTGGTCAGAGTGTTGCGCATTCATTCTTGGCAAGTGTCGATGATGATGATGAAGGGCCATCTCAAGAGTGTTGCGCAATCATTCTTGGCAAGTGGCGATGATGATGATAGGCCATCTCCAGCGCACGTGGCAACGACGACGATGATGATGATGGGGCCACATCCAGCGCACGTGCGCGCCGAAGACGATGATGACGATGGGGCCACATCCAGCACACGTGCGCGCCGAAGACGACGATGATGATGATGACGATGGGGCCACATCCAGCGCACGTGCGCGCCGAAGACGATGATGATGACGATGGGGCCACATCCAGCGCACGTGCGCGACGAAGACGACGATGATGATGATGACGATGGGGCCACATCCAGCGCACGTGCGCGACGAAGACGACGATGATGATGACGATGGGGCCACATCCAGCGCACGTGCGCGCCTGAAGGGCAACGGCGTGGCCACCGGGACCCTGGCCCGTGTGGGCCCGTCCACTCGGCCAAGTGGGGTCCGCAACGCGACCAGCCACGGGTTTACGCCGTTTTTACGCTCAAACAAAAGTGTTTGTGAAGACAAATCGAGCAATTCAACGGTGGTGGTTGCGTGGGGGAGGAGATCGAAGCGGTAAGTTTAACTTTGAGTGGCGTTAGTTGACTCAGAGTTCGTGGACGCCCCACCCCCCTCCCCCCTGCGCGCAGCGGATGGTACATTCGTCCGACTCTATTTTAAGAGGTCCCACCGCCCCCCTCCATCTACTCACAGTTCACGCCACTTGGCTTGGAGGTGGCTGCTGCGACGACGAGCACCCAGTGTCAAACGCCACGGTAATTAAGGGCTTCTTCGTAAGTGCCGAGGAATAAAACCCCTTAAATCTCAACGTCTGGGACGACGACACACCACTCACTCAATCTCTCTCCCCTTTGACTGCCTCAACACCCACGGAATTATTCGAAAAGGTGAGAAACCCACAACCACACACCACTCAATCTCTCTCTCATTTTCCTGTCTCAACACCCACGGCATTATTCAAAAAGGTGAGAAACCCACGACACACACCACTCAATCTCTCTCCCCTTTGGCTGCTTGAACACCCACGGAATTATTCGAAAAGGTGAGAAACCCACAACCACACACCACTCACTCAATCTCTCTCATTTTCCTGTCTCAACACCCACGGAATTATTCAAAAAGGTGAGAAACCCACGACACACACCACTCAATCTCTCTCCTCTTTGGCTGTCTCAACACCCACGGAATTATTCGAAAAGGTGAGAGACCCACGACGAAACACACCATTCAATCTCTCTCATTTTCCTGTCTCAACACCCACGGAATTATTCGAAAAGGTGAGAGACCCACGACCACACACCACGGCAGACATGCTCGAGAGGGTTGAGATACCCTTCCCTGCCCTCTCGTCAGACCAAGGGATGGGAATGACACTTTTATTACCTCTAAATCTCTACACTACAACAAACACTCCAAATAGGTGGCTACTATTCCTGTTTACACCACAAGCAGCTCTCGGTTTCAGTGCGACACGACGGCGGTGTTTGGAGATGTTGTGTGGCCAGCGATGTGTGGTCTTTTTGTAATATTATTGTGTGGTGGGAGTATTATTTGGTAGTGTTGTGTGTGGTGGTAACGTGGTATGTAGTGTGTGGTAAGTTGTATGTTTGATTGCAGAATGGCAGTGCGAAGGGATTGGTATTAGTGTGGTTGTGTGTTATGGGTAGTACGTGATGAGTACGGTTGGTTACATACGGTGCGAAAGAAGTTCAACATTCGTAGTATGCAGGGTGTACTTTGGTAGTGGGTGTCGTGTGTGAATGTACCAGTATTGGTTCAGTGTGGTGGTACGTGTCATACTGTGTGAGTAGCAGTATGTAGAGTGTACTACTGTGGTGGTACGTGTAGTACTGTGTGAGTAGCAGTGTGTTACTACTGTGGTGGTACGTGTAGTACTGTGTGAGTAGCAGTGTGTTACTACTGTGGTGGTACGTGTAGTACTGTGTGAGTAGCAGTGTGTTACTATGTGGTGGTACGTGTAGTACTGTGTGAGTAGCAGTGTGTTACTATGTGGTGGTACTTGTAAGTACTGTGTGAGTAGCAGTGTGTTACTACTACTGCTACTACTGCTGTGGTGTTGGTGGGGTAGTTGGTGGATGGTGTTGGTGGGTGGGTGTTGGTGGGTGGGTGTTGGTGGGGTAATTGGTGGGTGGGTGGGTGTTGGTGGGGTAGTTGGTGGTGGGTGGTTGTTGGTGGGGTAGTTGGTGGTGGGTGGGTGTTGGTGGGGTAGTTGGTGGTGGGTGGGTGTTGGTGGGGTAGTTGTTGGTGGGGTAGTTGGTGGTGGGTGGGTGTTGGTGGGGTAGTTGTTGGTGGGGTAGTTAGTGGTGGGTGGGTGTTGGAGCTGTCGTTGTGGTGGGTGGGTGTTGGTGGTGTAAGTGTGTTACTACTGCTGTGGTGTTGGTGGGTGGGTGTTGGTGGGGTAGTTGGTGGGTGGGTGTTGGTGGGGTAGTTGGTGGTGGGTGGGTGTTGGTGGTGTAAGTGTGTTACTACTGCTGTGGTGTTGGTGGGGTAGTTGGTGGCTGGGTGTTGGTGGGGTAGTTAGTGGTGGGTGGGTGTTGGTGGGGTAGTTGGTGGGTGGGTGTTGGTGGGGTAGTTGGTGGTGGGTGGGTGTTGGTGGGGTAGTTGTTGGTGGGGTAGTTGGTGGTGGGTGGGTGTTGGTGGGGTAGTTGGTGGTGGGTGGGTGTTGGTGGGGTAGTTGGTGGTGGGTGGGTGTTGGTGGGGTAGTTGTTGGTGGGGTAGTTGGTGGTGGGTGGGTGTTGGTGCTGTAGTTGGTGGTGGGTGGGTGTTGGTGGGGTAGTTGGTGGTGGGTGGGTGTTGGTGGGGTAGTTGGTGGTGGGTGGGTGTTGGTGGGGTAGTTGGTGGTGGGTGGGTGTTGGTGGGGTAGTTGGTGGTGGGTGGGTGTTGGTGGGGTAGTTGGTGGTGGGTGGGTGTTGGTGGGGTAGTTGGTGGTGGGTGGGTGTTGGTGGGGTAGGTGGTGGGTGGGTGTTGGTGGGGTAGTTGGTGGTGGGTGGGTGTTGGTGGGGTAGTTGGTGGTGGGTGGGTGTTGGTGGGGTAGTTGGTGGTGGGTGGGTGTTGGTGGGGTAGTTGGTGGGTGTTGGTGGGGTAGTTGGTGGTGGGTGGTGTTGGTGGGGTAGTTGGTGGTGGGGTAGTTGGTGGTGGGTGGGTGTTGGTGGGGTAGTTGGTGGTGGGTGGGTGTTGGTGGGGTAGTTGGTGGTGGGTGGGTGTTGGTGGGGTAGTTGGTGGTGGGTGGGTGTTGGTGGGGTAGTTGTTGGGTGGGTGTTGGTGGGGTAGTTGTTGGTGGGGTAGTTGGTGGTGGGTGGGTGTTGGTGGGGTAGTTGTTGGTGGGGTAGTTAGTGGTGGGTGGGTGTTTGTGGGGTAGTTGTTGGTGGTGTGGGTGTTGGTGGGGTAGTTGGTGGTGGTGTGGGTGTTGGTGGGGTAGTTGGTGGTGGTGTGGGTGTTGGTGGGGTAGTTGTTGGTGGGGTAGTTGTTGGTGGGTGGGTGTTGGTGGGGTAGTTGTTGGTGGGTGGGTGTTGGTGGGGTAGTTGGTGGTGGGTGGGGAGTGGTGGGGTGGTCGGCGGTGGGTGGGTGTTGGTGGGGTAGTTGGTGGTGGGTGGGTGTTGGTGGGGTAGTGGGTGGGGTAGTTGGTGGTGGGTGGGTGTTGGTGGGGTAGTTGGTGGTGGGTGGGTGTTGGTGGGGTAGTTGGTGGTGGGTGGGTGTTGGTGGGGTAGTTGGTGGTGGGTGGGTGTTGGTGGGGTAGTTGGTGGTGGGTGGGTGTTGGTGGGGTAGTTGGTGGTGGGTGGGTGTTGGTGGGGTAGTTGGTGGTGGGTGGGTGTTGGTGGGGTAGTTGGTGGTGGGTGGGTGTTGGTGGGGTAGTTGGTGGTGGGTGGGTGTTGGTGGGGTAGTTGGTGGTGGGTGGATGTTGGTGGTGGGTGGGTGTTGGTGGGGTAGTTGGTGGTGGGTGGGTGTTGGTGGTGGGTGGGTGTTGGTGGGGTAGTTGGTGGTGGGTGGGTGTTGGTGGGGTAGTTGGTGGTGGGTGGGTGTTGGTGGTGGGTGGGTGTTGGTGGGGTAGTTGGTGGTGGGTGGGTGTTGGTGGGGTAGTTGGTGGTGGGTGGGTGTTGGTGGTGGGTGGGTGTTGGTGGGTGGGTGTTGTTGGTGGGGTAGTTGGTGGTGGGTGGGTGTTGGTGGTGGGGTGTTGGTGGTGGGTGGGTGTTGGTGGTGGGGTAGTTGGTGGTGGGTGGGTGTTGGTGGTGGGGTAGTTGGTGGTGGGTGGGTAGTTGGTGGTGGGTGGGTGTTGGTGGGGTAGTTGGTGGTGGGTGGGTGTTGGTGGTGGGGTAGTTGGTGGTGGGTGGGTGTTGGTGGGGTGTTGGTGGTGGGTGGGTGTTGGTGGGTGGGTAGTTGGTGGTGGGTGGGTGTTGGTGGGGTAGTTGGTGGTGGGTGGGTGTTGGTGGTGGGGTAGTTGGTGGTGGGTGGGTGTTGGTGGTGGGGTAGTTGGTGGTGGGTGGGTGTTGGTGGGGTAGTTGGTGGTGGGTGGGTAGTTGGTGGTGGGTGGGTGTTGGTGGGGTAGTTGGTGGTGGGTGGGTGTTGGTGGTGGGGTAGTTGGTGTGGGTGGGTGTTGGTGGTGGGGTAGTTGGTGGTGGGTGGGGTGTTGGTGCTGTAGTTAGTGGTGGTGTTGGTGGTGGTGGGTGGGTGTTGGTGGTGGTGGGTGGGTGTTGGTGCTGTAGTTAGTGGTGGTGTTGGTGGTGGTGGGTGGGTGGTGTTGGTGGTGGTGGGTGGGTGTTGGTGGTGGTGGGTGGTTGTTGGTGGTGGTGGGTGGGTGTTGGTGGTGGTGGGTGGGTGTTGGTGGTGGTGGGTGGGTGTTGGTGGTGTTGGTGGTGGTGGGTGGGTGTTGGTGGTGTTGGTGGTGGTGGGTGGGTGTTGGTGGTGGTGGGTGGATGTTGGTGGTATATATTTATAGACGAACACGCGGCAGGTGCCGCCTTCTCGCACCAGCGAAACGCGGCGCGTCACCCGGGGCCCGCTTCTCTCCGGGCACCGCTTTTAGCGGTTAACGTTGTGAACTAAAACACTTCATTTATTGTTTATATTCTTCTTTAACAAGAGTTAACACGAGCACGAGTTAAAGAATATAGAACAACAACACGCACTGGCCTTAGCATAAGTTCGATTTAATTTTACGTCGAGATATTCCGCCGAAGTTGGGAAGTTATTCGTTTTTGTCTCGTAAGTACAAATTATTCGCGATTAATTTGTAATGTATAATAATAACTTTGTACCGTGTTATATTTCTCTGTTACGTTTGTGACGGCGATCGGATTTTAAAACGACGATGTTTGTGTTTGTACAGCGATGGCCGTTGAGACTTTGGCCAAATTTAAATGAGATTTAAATTTTTTATCCGCCGTTTTATCACCGATTGATCGCATTAATTTAACACGACGAGGGTTTAACGAGAGCTATAAACTACATTTAGTGATTATATATTATCGGAATTCGCTGTTATTGATGCAAATTTACAAAGCGACGAGTTGCCTATACGTCTTGATGGAACTGCATTGGTCATCGTGAGCGGGTTTAAAAAAAAAGTGATCATTCGTGGATATTGTCAAGGTTAAAGAGTATATATTTAATGTTTATCTGAGCTGCAATAGATATCCGATTAGAGATTGTGATGTTATAGAGTTTGTAGTTACTGAGACGTCATTAAGCGCTTTGGGCCTTGGGGGATGGCGGTTGAGGTGATTTTTATTTCGCATTAAGCGATTACATTTTAACGTTTTATAACTACAAATTGTGCCCTTTTGCGTAACGTGTGGTTCTATTTAGTATTGTGTGTGTAGCTGAGCTCGCAACGAGTTAACTACGATGATTTTAGTTGTTTTTCAAGGCCCTCACACGACGCTTAAGTCGCCGCTTTTGTAATAAAATATATAATGACGCATTTAAAATGCGTATGTTCGATAAGCTTTTAAAAGTAATAACGATATATATTTATAAACAAGAGGTTTAACTAGTTCTCAACGCGCTATTGTGCAGTTTCTTTCCCAAATATAAACGGTATCTTACAGAAGTGGCGGGAAAATACGACCTTTTTTATATGCAATTATTTTTTAATATGCAATTATCAAAGTTAAAAAAATAACAATAGGCGTTTAGCCTCTGACAAATAAAGCTGGGAGTTGTGTTAAAATGATGGTAAACGTGCGAAAATTTTGATTTAAATAATGTTATTTTTAAAATGATACTTTATACCTGTGGTAAACGTGCAAAAAAATTGTAATTAAAATAATGTTATTTTTAAAATGATACTTTATACCTGTGGTAAACGTGCAAAAATTTTTGATTTAAAATAATGTTATTTTTAAAATAATACTTTATACCTGTGGTAAACGTGCAAACAAATTTTGATTACAAAAAAATGTAATTAAAAAATATATACTTATAGAAGCGATTGATTTAATTGATTTATTTTAATTTTTTATTATTTATTATTTTTATTGTATTACTTTTTACCTACGTGACTTTACCGAACAAACATAAGAGTTTATAGAAGCGGGTTCGTCAAATTGTCGCGAAAACAAAAACGGGGTGGGGATAAAGACGACGCCGCCGCCGCCATGGGGTTCGACGGTGTACGGACCAGGCCTCGGGCAGGAAAAAGGACGACGACGATAATGACGGAATGAATAGCAATCGAGATGAGAAGGATGTGCCCCAAGACGATGGGATATGAGTGTTGTCTGACGGACGTGAGCGAGATGATGATATTGATGAGTGGGGGCAGTGGAGGGATGTTCTTCATCTAGCAGTAGACGGACCATGGCTGATGGTTACTCTTTGTACAGTACCATGGAGTGGTTTGTTTTTTAACCAAAGCTTTTTGGACTGAAGTTTAAATCTCTCCCCAAACCCATCCTAAAGTTTTGTGTTGCAGAGAAAACGGAACTACTTGGATTTCAATATTTGATCTTTATCAATGTTTAACTTCTGGACTAACTCAAGTTTTGAATCGAAGTACGTACTCTTTTTATTCAATGCTCTAATTTTTAATACCGACGTGAAATAACGTCGACATGCCGTGTGTGACGATGCTTAAAGTGGAGTCTACGAGAGGAAATATGATTGTATATTTAAATTAATAGCCAGTAGTCTAGACGGCTTAAGTACGTGTTGTCCTATTCCATCTAAAGTGGCGTCAACAGCGTCTTTGTGATTTGCCTTTTCAGATATTTTTCTTTTTTTTAACTGGGAAATTTTGATTACAAATACTCGCTTCTCAATTAACTCGTTCAGTCAACATATGGTTAACGTGGCTGTTACTTTGTAATCTATTTTGAAAAACTATAATTTTGATTCAACGTTAATTGTGTTCCTTATACTTAATGGAAACCCCAGTGGATGACAATTGGAGCCTTGCCAGATTACTTTGGGCAGTATTCAGAGTCACTCGCGTGAGTTAAAAGTTAAAGTTGCCATTGTATTGGCATGTGTTGGCAAAATACGTTTGTCAGGCGTTCATCTGGAGGCTGTAGAATGTCAAGTTAAAATCGAAAAATGTGCAAGAAATGCTGGTACAGTAATACCACGAACTAGGGCTCTCCTCCCCTCTTACGTCGTTTCGCAAATACGTCGTGACTTTGGTTTAACACGTAGTAGGCATTTGCGATCAATATCCATAATACAGGTAAATTTTTTACGGTTTTACTTCACTTGACTCCTGCGTCGTGGTCAAATCTTGTAATCTACATTTCGTCCACTTTCCGTTGTCGAATCAATCCCTAATTCTGCACACTTACTCAGATCCGGTGACAATGCATGTCTGTATTAAAATCGGCACCAAATAACCAGTCAATTGCCTCCTTTAAAGCAATTTAAAAAAATTCATGGACGGCATATTAATTATATATTTTTGTGTAGGTGAAAAACGCCGCGGTCCCTAAACTATGGAATTGGCTCCCACAAGAAGCAGGCGCAATGTCTCTTTTAATCAAGATGTCGTTCACTTCCCGTTGTCCAATCGAGTTATTTACTTTTTAGTGCACTTTAAAATAAAACTGCTTAAAAAAACTTTTAAAGGAGTTTATTTAGGTTAGATCGCTTAAATATAAATGTGTCGTTAAACCCGCCACCACCCGACACAGCCAATTATCAAGGTTTTCACGTCAAACAGAACATGCCAATTCGTTACCTGTGTAATGACAGTGACACCTACTGGCCTGGAAGGGGAATCACGGGCACGGTCGCTCATTGCACTAGTACAGCACCGGCATGTTGAGAGATGTACCATCTTGAGTACGACGTTTCGCCATCTTCTTGGTTCTTTCGGTAAAGTCACGTAGAAGGGAAATAATAAAATAATAAAAATAAAACATAATAAAATACAATTCTCACGACGTTTCGGCCACAACGCAAGCAGCCGTCCTCAGGTGAAGAACAGGTCTGTCAGAAAGACAGCGCGTGAATGAACACCACTTGGTGATGAACACCACTTGGTGGTGAACACCACTTGGTGGTGTTCATTCATTATTTTATTATTTCCCTTCTATGTGACTTTACCGAAAGAACCAAGAAGATGAATCCCTGCAGTCACGAAAGCTTTAAATCGACGTTTCGCCAGTCATCACTTTTTTCTACCTCGACTCGTCGCCTTGACTCGCACCTACGTCACTGATAGCATCCGCACTTTCCAGTGTCCTTCTCCTCTACCTACCTACTACCCCCCTTTATATTCGTTTTGATTTACGTCGTTTCGATATTCGTCGTGCCATACCTTTCCGGAACGTGCAAACCCGGGTCTGTGGCTGGTGGGGGGGGAGTATTTTACCGTACAAATAACAAGTCTCGTTCACAAAAGGACTGACGGTGAAAGTGATGTAATTGCGCATTAGTACCTGGTGTCTTGTGTGGGGGGAGCGGTAGTGCAGCGGTTAGCGCACTGCGCTGCGAACCGGAGTTCGATTCCCGCTCAGGGCCTCCCTGCTAGCTCGACTCAGCCTCAAATGAGTACCCGGCGTGGTGTATAAACATCGCCACTCGGGGAGACAGGCGCTCGTGTGTGGTTGCTCTGCCCACCCACCAACCTCGTGTGCCGCACAGTGCCGGCCATCATCGGCGCTACTCGACTAACAGCACTTGCCCCCAAACAACAGTCTTGTTACAGGCTACACGGGGGATCTTCGTGTATTCCTTTTTCCCGCGTGTGCCCCCTTTTTTTGACATCGTCTTGTCGTCGCCAGGGTGCTGCTGCTGTCCACACGTGCCACGATGAGCGACCCCATGGGTGGCGGCAGCGACGGTGATGGTAGTGGTGCATCGCCTCCACTTATGCTGGAGGCATCGCCGTCGCTGATTAGCGGCGGCAACCCCACGCAGGCACCACGTTACGGCACCGTCATCCCCAATCGCATCTTCGTTGGGGGCATCGACTTCAAGGTGTGCGGGTATTCGTGGGCACAACACGTTTCACTTGGTGGCGACGAGACGTCGGTTTAATCGGCATTTGAGATTCATAAGGGGTAAGGGGTGACCAATAAGGTTTACATTGGTCTGTACTAAGGTAGGCACTGATAAGGAGGTTGACAGAAGTGATATTGATGTGTCATACGTAGGAGTGCAATGATTAAACATGCAAGACATCCAGTTTGAATGAAGAGCTAATTTAATGGCGGCCTCCAAATCATCACATCATATATCAAGGGTCGTGCTAAGTTGAAATATGAAGGGTTGCAACTTTTGCAAATATTTTTAACATGTGTACTACAACAAAATGTTGTTGCCGGTGTAGGGTAGAACCAGCCATACTAACAATGAATGTCATGGGACATTGCATTTGTGCAGGTGACCTCAAGGTGATGCCTGACATGACTTGGATTTTCACGTTTAGTGTGATTCCAAAATGTTCTTATAAAATGTATTTTTTTAAATGACAGCAGAAACGAGGTATCTTCAAATTGTATAATGCATGCGGGTGACGGCTAACACGTTATTTAAAAAGAGCATGATTGTTGATTGTAAGGTAAACTTTAAAACAGTCGCAAGAACTTTCGATTTAAAGCTTTCGTGACTGCAGGGATTCATCTTCTTGGTTCTTTCGGACTTTACCGAAAGAACCAAGAAGAAGTCGCAAGAACCTTGGGAAAAGTACATACATGCCTTTGCTGGTGATTCAGAGTAAAAGTAATGCCTATATATTCAATTTGCTGTGCACGTTTATTTTCAGGTAAATGAAGCTGAACTTAAGAAGTATTTCACTCAGTTTGGTGCTGTTAAAGATGTCAAGATCATAAATGACAGGGCTGGAGTCTCCAAAGGGTGAGTCCTGATTATATTTTGCAAATTTACACTAAAACTGGTTCAAATGTTCCTTGTTTTCATATTATAATAGTCTGATGATCTGTTAAAGTTGTGTTTTTAAAGATTAACATCACCGTTAAGATTTAACGAACCCGTTAGTCCATAGGTTACAACATTAATATTTAAAATGTTTACATGATTAATATAATATCTTGGGTACCTGTGTGATGCAGAAGTCTATGGTTATTATTTAATACATTTGGTGATAAAATCGGCACATTAACATACACCTAAATTCAACTTTTTCAATTTTGCAGTTATGGATTTGTCACATTTGAGTCACAAGAGGATGCACAGAAGATACAGCAAGAGGTAAAATAGTACAAATAATTTGCTTCAGGCATTCCAGTGTGTTAATTTCACAACGTACTGCTCTTAGTTGTGCTTCATGTGATACCATGCAAGAATGTTTGGACCTGGTTCGAGAACAGGTTTGCCTTGTGTGCAAATCATTGAAGGCAAGGAGAGATATGTCATTTGTAATGTTGGCTCAAGTCGCAAGACCTAAATAGCTGGTCTGCTGTGCAAGTCAGTTTGGCGCAGTCACATTTTACAGAGTACCATTTCAAAATCGTTTTAATATTAAAATGAAATTGCATGGTTTTTACATCTTTCCTGAAAACAAATTTGGAAGTGTAACAATTTTTATTTGACCCTTTTTGTGCTATACTTGGGATTATTCACAGTTGTTGAATTTTTTTTTAATGCATTATATTAATTTTCTTTTACATAATTTTAGGTCATTTGTCTATTCATTGTTGGATAAAGAATTTATCAAAGCTGTTATATCACTAGAAGTTGTACATAATGTTTTAACGCTGTGGTGCAATGATGTACATTACATAGTTTTACATCTTGGCTTCTGTATGCTGCGTATACATTCACCACGATCAAACAACTCAATAATGACTTGTGTGAGATGTAATGTTTATTGTATTACTAGCCTTTTGCCCGTCCAAGGATTGGTGTATTGCAGTAAATCTGAACCTTGTAAGCGAAAAGCAGACCGCGACGTGATATTCATTGCATCCATGCGTGTACAATTTGTAAGGACGCGGTGACACAGACCTATTTCATTTTAAGGTTATAATCCCTTGTTCATCATGACGTCCATTTTACTTTGACGTCTCAATAGCTTTACGGAGATCACGTGACGTGAGGGTTCTGCCTTTGTAGTGAGGGTTGTTAGTTGACGCCGAGGAGGGGGGAGGAGGCGCCTCGCCCCCCCCCCATGTGGAGTGACGTCAACCGCTAATTATTATGAATGGGGGGGGGTGTCCATTTGGAGGACGTCACCTTATAATGATTATTGAGGGGGGCTGTTCGATGTGGAGTGACGTCACCTGCTCATAATTAGTAATGAGGGGGGAGGGTGCTCCATGTGGGGTGACGTCACCTGAGGGGGGGGTCCATATGGAGGACGTAACCTGTTCAATTATTAAATTTTTACTTAAAACTTTCGTGATTGCAGGAATTAATATTCTTTGGTTCTTTCCGTAAAGTCACGTTAGAACCAAAGAATACTGTTCATGATTATTATTGAGGGGGACTGGTCGACGTGGAGTGACGTCACGAGCGTTGCACACAGACATTCTTGGCTCATAGTAGGTAATAATAATCGGGTGTCTATTTGGAGGACGAAACCTGCTCATGATTATTAATGAGGGGGCTGTTCGATGTGGAGTGACGTCACTTGCGCACATGATTATTAGTAAGCGGGGAGGAGTACTCCATATTGAGTGACGTCACCCGCTCATGATTAATGAGGGGTGGGGGCTGTTCATTTGAAGGACATCACCTGCTCATGAATATTAATGAGGGGGGCTGGTCGATTTGGAGTGACGTCACGAGCGTTAAGGACAGACATTTCTTGGCCATTATAGTATGTACTTAAGTCAAATGTAATTGTAATGGATGATTTGTTAATATGGGTTTTGTGGCTTTTATCCAGGCTGACAAAATTATGTATAAGGATAAAAAGCTCAACATTGGCCCAGCCATTCGAAAACAACAAGTCGGCTTCCCACGTAAGTAATGCTCATCGGTGTTCCGAGTAATGTAGGCTATTTCCGCTTGGCAACTAATCTAGTCTAAAGTGTTTACTAAACCAAGCATTTCAACAGTATTCATCTCATTGACTGCAAATAATGTGGTTGGGCACTACTTTCTAACCTTGCAAACAAGTGGTGTTACTTAAGAGTCAAGCATATGTCTATGCATTTGGATATTGGATCAGGCACTTGTTTGTGTGTGGTTGTACGTGTGTATTCCTCTGTTCTCACAGAGTTTCCTCTAACTCCAGCATCAGGGAGTATGGTCCTCACAACTTCAACAGGGCAGCCTTTCCTCTTTCACAATGGCGTGGCTTATTTCCAACAACCTGATGCTATGCCAGTCCAAATGCCTGTGAGTGAATCTTAATTGTATACAAACACAGCAGTTTGCATTATTTCATGTTGTACAATCACAGGTGACTGATGTTTGATAATTTGAAGAGAAGCTGTAATTAATGCTACACTCATGGATGTGTTATTGGGAATGTAAATTGCATAGTAAGCCTTATCTCAAACATGGTTATTGCTTTGTGTGTGAAAAGATTCAACAGCACCAGACATACTATAATCATCAACCTATGCATATACCATCACCCCAAGCATCACCCGTGTACCAACAGCCTGCCTACTCTTATCAGGTATGAACAGTCGTGCAGGACACAGAGACTCGACTCCTAAAAATCATGCGCTGGTTTCAATGATCAAAATAAATATCACATATCTGCATTGTTTATAAAAAAAATGTACATTTAAATATTTCAGATTTTCTTGACCTGTCAACATTTTATACAAAAGATAAATTCCACTTTTTGGAGATATAAATAAATACATATTCTCGAAAAAATAAAATAATATTGCAAGTTCCCCCAAGACTATTCGGTAACCCCTACACACTTTGCCTCCCAAATGTTTGGTGGGAAACACATATACACCATGCAGAGACTATACACACATAATACACTGCATACGATTATAAGTATGTTCCGTTAATTAAGGTTAACTTGATCTAGATCAAAGATAAAAGGTTTACATGGCGACTCATTAACATCAACATACATGGAAATTATGTGCTAACAGAATGACTCGGAGATGAGTAAATAATTTGTATTACAATGAAGATAAACTTAATGGTTTATTTTCATTTGTTTTAAGCATTGCATATGGGACTGCATATACATTACAGCAGAGCATAATTTTTTAACTGTATACTCATGTACTGTAACATTGCACTCCACCATTGTACAGTGCAATGAATACAGCCACATCGTTTATATCGAGTTATAGCTAACCAAGCTCATGATACTTATCAACATTTTCCAGTTTCTTACACTTTACGCTTAAGCTGGCTGCAAGCACACAGTACCTTGCATAACGTTTTTCAACAACTGCTTGAAAACTCGCGTGGTTACACTGATTCCTACCACTGTCGACAGGAGTTTGGCTGAAGTCAAGGTTATTATTGTAACCAGAAGTTGGCTGGCTTGCTGGCCAGTGGTATTTTTAATTTATGGCACTACTGCGCTTGAGACAGCATGCAGCAAGTAAAAATAACTACTGTATTTGTTGCCCTGCTCATCAAGAGTTTAGACGTTTATTTTGTTTAATAATGAAGTATAATCAGATACAGCCCTTTGTCAATCCACTGCGAGATGCACACCTCCCCATGTCATGTTCGGTGTTGGGATTGTTTTGAGCACACTACACTAGTAAATGTGAATTGGTGAAGGGGGTGGTGGGTTAATCAGGTCAGGTTCATATAGGGTGGTATAACATGGCCTAGCGCTAGTGCCTCTTTCGCTAGTTGTAGATGTCCACGGTTCAAATCAAATGGCGACCACCCTGATATATTACTATAGGTGTAACAAACGTAATATGCACCGTGTGCTTCACAGTGGATGTAAAAGGTACCGTGACGTAATTTGCAAGAGTAGTAGGTCATTGTGTGTGCCGGTGTCGGCAGTACAAATTTGCCGAGTTTGAAAATTACTCGCAAACTACCAATTGGGATTATATAGAGCAATCTTCGCCCTCTACTGGCAGACTACTGGCCAAGGTCCTGGTTTATTGAGTTCTTACCTGGGTAAAGAAATGTATCTTGCAACTTGCGATATCACGACTGATTTTAGCTGTGGCCAGAAATGAAACTCGGACCACCGGGTACTTAACGCAGTGCAAGTGAAATATACACTTTTCAACCTTGAACATTTTTTCAATGCCATTTTAAGTATTCTACTAGTGATAGATAGCAATAATCTTTAAAGAGATGTTTTGCAGTTGGTTTATTTGGATGGTTCTCATCTAAATATATCTTCGTCATTTAATACATGGTGGCTGTGTGTTTTGATTTTAAAGCAGGCTCCCCCTTCTCAGTGGTCCACTGGCCAGTGGCTCTGGAGTCCACCTCAAGTGAGTCACAGAACTTACACTTACCTTGACATTACTATAGCATGCTGCAAAAGAAAGATAATTTCCAAGCTCATACTACTACCAAAGGCTTTCACGAACAATTGCGCACAGGTTTAATATGGCTGTTATTTTTAGTTGTGCAGAAGAAAAAATTCTTTTTGTGTTTTAACAATTTAACTTTCCATATTTCTTCTGAATAAAAGCCAGTTTAGAACACCTTTAGTAGTAAATATTGTGGCATATTCACAGACCATTGTTTAGAAAATGTTCTGGAGTCAAGCTTGTAAAAAATAGTTATTTCATGAAATTTTAAATACATCTACTTGAAAGTTGGTTAAATATGATTGTACATGTGTAATAAACAATAAGTGTAGACTCATTTACTCCTGATTGGAGGTGTACTGTTTGCACTAGTGCAATGTGAAATAACATGTATGGCATATTGTCTATTTTACATTTGCAGCGCAGAATTTTTTTTTCAATTATCGAATATTTGCATAACATTGCATTATATTTCAAATCATTACATTGCATCTAAATGTTGCCCATGAAAATAAATATATTCTCTTACAGTTTGTACAATTGTTCATGGGCATGCCATGAGTAAGACTTGTTACTTGCTGTTGCGCAACACGATTGTGTGTCTCTTACAAGGCTCCACAATCGCCAGTGATGTACATGCAGCCCCAAGAGATGATGTACCACCATCAGTCCATGAACATCCCCACTGATGGAGGCAATTCCCCTGCCGGCCCTATAATCACAGATGTTTCAATCTCAGAGGTAAGGCGAAGGCAAATACTGCCCACCCAGCTAGCATCTGATGCATTGCTTTCAGAGCAACAGTCACAAGTACAGTTCATCATATTAAAAGTGATAAATGTATTTGGGCTTCAGTATCTGCTCCCACCCAATCCTGTAATTAAGCATTAGAAAATGCACTTGTGTCTTCTATTTTAAAGGTTGGGGGTGCATTTTCTAAATAAACCGGTGTATGACATTTGTTTAAATGTGTTGACATTAGTCACAAGTTTTTAATGCTGTTGAATTTTTTCCTTTTAGAAAGTGTAGATTGTAAAATGTGGTAATTATTATCGTAGGCTTGAAATGGTCCAATTTTTTAACAGATGTATATTGATTCATAGTTTGAAAGTATGGCACTGATGTTTGTGGATGAGTAAGGTTCTCATTTGCCATTTACACCGGTATGCACAGCGTTACACAGATCATACGATGCAGGCTGCTTACCACCAGACACACTTGCACCCGCCCAACAACATGCAAGTGGCCATGGTGTCCCAAGACCACGTGAAGGTTCGTTTTTTTTGTTTTTAATCAGTTTTTAACTTGTCTGCTACATACTACAAATTATTATTGTCAATGATACACAATAAACACATTTAGTTTCTTAACCTACACATTGTTCCTTTTTGTTACACAGCAGGATACCAAGATGTTTCACATGAGACGGGTCTACGGGACATCTCAGCAGGGTGGTGTCAAATCTCGAATGTGGCGCAACGCCACCGGCTTCCGCCACCGACGAGATTTACAAATGGAACGAGCAATCCTCACCCCCCCGCCGACGCCAACGGAAGGTGGCCAGTGAGCACACGCACTGTGCTGCACGCTGTGGCCACGCTTGACCGACTCGAGACACGCAGCGCAATGACAAATATTTGATTTTGTGTGAGCCTTTGCGGTAGGATGTTTTGCCTGCGTGTGCCATTGCAGCTACAAGGTCATTGCCAATTTTACTTGGGCGAATTGTTTACATGGAGGAGGTCAATGTGGTTTTGCTGCATACTTTTATGTGAAACGTATAGGATTATAATTTGCTGTAGTGTTCCAGGGAAGCCTCATAGTGTAAAATCCTTTTATATTTCATTATATTGAAGCAAACCCACATTCACCTAATTATTGTTAAGTTTGTTCAAAGTGTAGAAACCTTACATTCAGATTTAAGAGAAAACATTATTTATCACTGAACAAGAATTTTAAGTCTTTAGGCACAACTTTCAGGTGTTAGGACTTCGTGAAAGATGAAGCCGAAATTGTGTTCATCATTTGACACAAGTTATTGCCTCAATGTGCACTTTTATAAATAGTGCCTTCACTGAAGAATGTTTGCTTTTATGTCTAGAGTGCCTTCAAACATAAGTCTTGATTACATTTCAGTATATTTTATACATGCATTGTGTGCAATGCTGTACACAAGTCTTAAAGTGTGATATAGTTAGTTTATGCAGCTACAGTACATGGAAGTCGCATTGTCCTATCTTTAAACAAAACTTCACATTGGTAAGGTTGTAAAGTTTACTACACTTGCATAAAGTATGTTTACTTGAAGTATGTAAGGGTATTTCATAGACTTTCATGGTGAGATTTTAGTTTTGATTTGGTCGAGTGCTTCATTTTTAACATAACCCCATTTTTACAACGTGCAACCACTGCTGTAATGGTTAGCGTTCATTATAAACCAATAATGCTACATTCCAAAATGTTTTTAATGGCAGAGAAATACGAGGGGATAGACACTTAATAAAAAACACAAAGTCCCTTGGTAATTTTGCTCTAAAACAAGCTAATCTATGGGCAAAATGTAAAAATGTATCACACTAATAGTTTATCATGCATATTATTTCAGAATTCTATATCCACATTCAAGAAATTAACATGTAAATTTTTTGATATAAAAAAATACATCTTTACAAACTTAATACTGATTGACAATCTACAGTTAGGCTTTTTTCAGGTGTTAATGTCTTCAGCGTTTTAACAAAGCTCTGTCATTGTCAACTACATTTTTGCATAATTAACCAAAGCTAGGTTTTATACGAATGAAAATAAGTGGCCAAATCTTTTTGGGTCTTTGCTCCAACTCAGCACGTTAATATAAGTGCTGGCCTTTAATAACATGTGGCCCAAAAATAACTCTCAACCTGCAATGTTGTTTCCTACTGAGAGTAAGCAGCACTCACTTCACTGAAAATCCTGACCAAATCAAAGCAATCTTGCCTCTATACCCCATCTCTCGAGATGTTTATCAATAGTGTATGCGGTGTTTATTTTCCTGAAAGATTTGATATGTGATATATAGCAATATAAGTATGATGGAACTCTGATGTTTACAAGATGTTTTCCTAAGCTCAGAGCTTAATGTAAAATGCAACAATGTGAAAAAAAATATTAAAACTAAAAGTTTAAAAAAATGTTTGCGTTGCTGGAGACTAGGTAAAAATTTTTTACATTTCATTGTAGCCTAGTAGAAACCACTTGGATTAGTTAAGGCACTTGTTTTGCAAATGTAAGTCACTGTTTCCCAGCTTACAAATAAAAGTTACATGTTTTGAAGGTGCTTTTGCATTGTTTACATCTTAATTGTTTACATCAGAAGGTGCTGTAAGGTACATGAGCGGATGCACCATGCTTGGCCATATATTTGCAGATTCCAGCCATGTATTTTACAGCAATTATGTAATACAAGGTATACATGTTATTGAACTGCTCATACCAGCAGTCACTACCAATTGACAATTCAACATTCCTTGGACGGTCACCAAAGTTATTTTATCAAACCTGGAGTCAAGCGATGTGTAACAGTGCCACCCTGCTGAATAATTTCCATTAAGGTAACACTGGATCGTTTTTTTTACACTATCCAATTATATTTTTCCAGTTGTCAATCGGTCTCGTCCACAAGGTGTCGCTATTTCCCCTGTAAAAAAAATACCATCCGGAAATGTATTGCTTCTCCAACAGATACAATTTCTAACACCATTGTGCACGAGATCTTTAGTGGCAGGGAGGTTGTGCAATGCCTAATGCTGCTCATTTAGGCAGTCATAGAATAACATGTTCTACTTGGTTGCAATGAGGTATCCAGTCCAGTCTCAGGTTACTGGTAAATTATCAATTTAATGTAGAACCCCACCTTAAAATGTGCATTCCCATGACAAACCAGCATCTTCCTCAGTATATGTGCATACATAAACTGAAATGTACGTGCACATGTACAGCCGTTTTGTCAAGCCTGCTGGACAAGGGCCTCCCCATGGTGTGCCAGCCACGTAATTCACGCTTTGTCAGTGCCGCTTGGTGAAGACAGGCAGAAAGTACGACAATGTATTTTGCTGCACTGCTGTTTGCTGCCAAGCATGTAGCTGATATAGACTTATATCCTGTTTGTGCATGGTGATGACCGTTTCAAAATGAATGCATTTGGGCACATTCTGGATCATTTGGTGAAAGGCAAGGGTATATGGTGTCGTCTATATGGTGTCAACATAGAAAACAGCATGATGCCACAATGTGGTGGAATTTACTAAATGTACATGTATGGTGAACTTCTTTCGCACTGTACGTAGCCAACCGTGATAATCGGTGTGGGAGTAACTCGTCACAAAAGTTGTTTTCACAGATGCAGTATAGTTTATTTCCACAAGTACAGAGTTTATACATTACTCTGCATAACCATACCGAATATTTAAAGTTCCCTTCAATTGCTGAACAATGACCTGCACAAAAACTGCACAGCCTTGGCAGTGATGTGGTATACAGTTTACACAATGCCACTTTCTCATGAAGTCATGTCCACCCAATTTGTGGATAAATAAAATAGCCAGGTAAAAATATGTTCAGCTTGCAAGTTGGTCCAAAACATGGCTTTGATATTACCCAAGTGCTGACCGGTTTTAATTTGAACATTGCAATGTAAAGGCATGTTCTATAAATACATAACTAAAAAGGCACTTTTAACAAATACAAATTTCGATTCGCTTGTCTTTGCACTACTCGGCTGTCGATTGCTTGAGGTAGGCGATGAGGTCTTTCCTCTCGGCCTCCTTCTTGATGCCGGCGAAGATCATCTTGGTGCCGGGGATATACTTCTTTGGGTTCTCCAGGTAAAGGAAGAGCGTGTCCTCATTCCACACAATTCCTGGAACAAGAAGAGAGTACACTTTAAATTTCAGTAATGCCATATTTTCAACAGCCATGATCAATCCATGTTTGATGAAGACATTTCCAAGCTATCGCCATCTCTCAGGACCGTGCAATGCAATAAAGCCCATCTACACACGGGCTGATGTCATCGTTCCATCAACTTGGTGGACGACCTCTTGGGCACATGGATTGGAAAACATGCAGGTTAAAGACATCGTGACTTTGAATAATTGCACTTGAGGACAAGTCACTAAAAGGGATGATACTGAATCGCCAAATGGAAACACTATATTAACGGTCACGTCATGGCATAAGGTCCATTTTATTTTTAAATTAAGAGCATTTATTGAACAAAAAACGCAGTGCAATGTGGTGTGTCAATTCATTACAGTCAATCCAGTGACATCAATGTAGGATAGGGCTACACAAGTGTTATGTCAGCATTTTCCTTGAGGAAAATAGACTTGTATGTGTAGCCTAGTGTGTAGCTAAAAGAAAGGAATGCAATAAAGCGTGGGACGATTTTTTTTATAGATGCCAACACCTTGCAAACACTCCGTTATTACGTATATATATGTTGTGGGTATAAAACTTCGCGGAGACCATCTTCCGGAGGCAACGCGTTTATTCCAATAAACTCAGTAACAATAACTGTAACATGAAGGAGTACGGCCCCTTCACCCGCTATCCTGAGGTACAGCCTCCCTTCTAGCGTGCCCTATTGACTCGGGACTATGCTCTCGAGGGTCCGCCGCTAAGGAACCTAGGGGTGGTTAGGCTGACCCAACCTAGCCAGGGTGTTTGATCTCACCACTGGTCCGCTAGAACCCGGCTCTGACAAGAGCCTCGGTTGAGGGTCCCAGGGTGCTAGTCTTTGGACGTCTTCAGGTCTTGAGTGGACGAACACTGCCGGTCGCGTTGAGAGGACAGGCTTTTATACACAAGCTGGAGCTTACCCCGCCCCTAGCCACTCCTCCCCTCTCGAACCTTCCAGAGGGTTCTGGAAGGGTCCGCAATGAACCGTTAGCCCCCAACCCTTGGGGGTCTGGGGTCTCCACCTCTGGTCACGTGATACCCAGGGGGGGTTGCCTGAGGTTAACCGCCACACACCCCGTTAAACCTCCCGGCTGCCCCCTATCGGCCTATGAGTGTAGTGGAAAGTTAAATAACATACAGCGCCCTGGCAACCGCGCTGCATATACAAAGCATTAAAATATATTAAAGCAGGGATGGGGAATGTTTTCCTTACCAAGGGCTGAATATAACTTTTAAATACCTTCAGCAGGCCACACATTAAAACACACCTTAGTGTTATGCTGCAATAATAACTGAAAAATAATTAGGGCCCGAGTTGGGTAATCAAATGCACTAAAAATATAAACTGTTGACAAGTAAAAAATATTCCCAGTTAGTACCAAATTCGTGCATCCCAGATGCTTGCAGAGACAGACATCATTATCTGGCCTTGTGTGGCCGTCGGATGTATCAAATTAAGTTGCGGGTCACCTCTGGCCCATGGGCCATGGGTTCTTCAGATCAGTTTGAAGATAGTGTCCTACTTATACGTTTCATTTAAGGAGTATTTTGCCTTACCCTTGTCCCTGTTGGCGTCCGTGTAGGAGAAGCCTGGGGCCTGGCCGGTCTGGCGTCCAAACATCCCTGAGAGGTTGGGGCCAGTCTTGTGCTTGCCGCCCTTCTCCACAGAGTGGCACTGGCTGCACTTCTGTACGAACACCTTCTTGCCCTTCTCCACGTCACCCATTGCCTTTTGACCCTGGAGTGTGAGAGAAGAGACACGTTCACATCATCATCATCCTTGTTTATTACTTGATATCGAAGCAAGTATAAAAACGAGATCCCAAGCACCAACGGAACTCAGCGCAATTGAACAGAGGACCGTGCGAGCAGCATGCTTAAACCTAGAATAAAAAAAACAATAGAAATGAATTAGCTACAATGTATAGTTAACCAACAACACTTCTTTTATAGTTATTCTTGGTTCTTTAGGTAAAGTCAAGTAGAAGGGAAAGAATAAAATAATATAAAACAATAAAAATTCTCACGACGTTTCGACTGCAACACAACACAATCATGATGCTGATTGCTTGTGTTGCAGTCGAAACGTCGTGAGAATTTTTATTGTTTTATATTAATATTATTTTATTATTTCCCTTCTACTTGACTTTACCGAAAGAACCAAGAATATTAATCCCTGCAGTCACGAAAGCTTTAAATCAAAATATTTTATGGTTAACAAAAAACTTAATACATTTGTCCATGACACTGCCTTAAGAGAAAAATATATATAGGCGATGGCCCTTCATAGCACAGAAATGTGTCGCCTTATATATATGCTTTTCATTTTAAGGCAGTGTTATTGATGAATGTTAAGTTTGTAGTGTATTGTGCTTGTGCACCAATGTCAATGCAGCATCACCAAATAATGTTTATTGTACATTGACACCATATGTTTAAGATATACTAAGTACATTACACAGGGACAATACACATAGCATGAGTATCAGATGTGGGAAACCATAGCTACTCTTGCGTGTAACTACAATTTAGTGGTTGTTATAAATACTGATAAATGATTATGCTTTTATGGAAGCATATTGAAATATCATCAGTTAGACTCTTGATTAAATACTCTTTTCACGTTATAAAATGTAACATTTAAGAGACACGTTTACCCAAATGACCTTTAAGACAAGCAACTGCTCTTAAAGAACTGGATAAAACAAGGAAGTTACCAGTACAAAACACACTCACAACCTGGTATAGCGAGTTCAGGGCCTGCCCTCTACAGCATTGAGGCTCCGATTGTAAACCATAGGTCATGCTGAATACAGTATAGAGTACCGTGGTAGACTGGGGATGTACAATTCGGGGACGGGATTCAAGACTCGTTTGTTTTACATTGTGGTGATGTATGTTGGACTTCTTTCGCACCGTATGTAGCCAACCGTGCTAACCGGACGGGCGGGGGAAGGACAAACTAAAAACAAAAAGTAGAAATAAATAGGTACAGTGGCGAAGATATAACAAGCGAAACCATTTATATTCTCACACATCCAATGTGATGTCTGCATCATGAGCTTAAGAATCTGTATTAGTTGATGAATTTTAACACGTAGCAGGCTTTCGCGACCAATGTTATTCATAATCAACGTTTTTGGGTTTAGATCGCGTTATTTATAAATGTGTCGTAACCCTCCACCACCCGACACGGCCAATCAGTAAAAATGTGTCACGTTGACAAAGACAAATAGTTCACTGCTTTAGCCCACCGGTGTGTTGTAAATGTTGTGGCTTCAACACACCGGTGGGCTAAAGCAGTGAACTATTTGTCTTTGTCAACGTGACACATTTTTACTGATTGGCCGTGTCGGGTGGTGGAGGGTTACGACACAT